GCAGTGTTTAACCCTAATCCTTAGCCCCAGAGCCGGGAACTTAAGTAGGGGGCTACCCTGCGCCTTTGGCTTCATGACATTCTGAGGTTTGCCATCCACCCACCCAGCCAGCCATCCGCCCATGCAAAACTCTAAACCCTAAACCCTGGCTTAGGGGTTGGTGGCCGGAGTCTAGTCCGAGAGCAGATTGCCAGGTGATGGCAAGGACAGAGATACACGCTTTGTATGCGGGACAAGGACCTCAAGTTCTAAAGTAAGGTACGGTTGATGATACAACTGCTGAAATACTCATGATAAGGAGCATACCATAATTCCCATAGTCTAGGGTCATTGAGGTATTGGGGACATTTTATAACCAACCGTATTCTCAGCTAACACTTGTACTGTGATACCTACCTACTGTTGTTACTTTGGTCCGGGATGCTTGGATCCGTCAATGACCTCACGCAGTAGCCCATCACTAGTCCGCACCCCCGAAACGCCTAATTCCAAAAGCCAGTTCAGGTGCCAATCGCGCACCCCAACAGGAGCGATTTGCAGATTTGCAAAACCTCACGGCCTTCAACCGGTGCGTCGAAGCCTGAAAGCTTGTCGAATTCGTAGCTTGGCGGAATGTGAGTTCGGGCCACTTGCCAGGATGGAGGCAATGAACTCCAAGCGGATCAACCATGCAACCACCTACTTGGAGGGTCGGGGGACTTAGTAACTGGTTATTTTAAGGACTTATAAGTACCATAAACCCAATCAGGGTCCCTTTTAGGGTACTTACAAGTCTACTTACCACCTACTTACTAAGTCCCTCGACCCTCCAAGTAAAGCCTTTGTCTACCTGCTGAGCACCAGCCCAGAGCCCTGAACGACACAGAACCCTAAACCCTAAACGCCCTAAACCCTGAACCTCAAACTCTAAACAATAAAACCCTAAACCCTCAACCCGAAGCCCTAAAACAGACTGAAGCAGACCAGCTCCCATCGGCTACGGCTACTGCTCCCGGCAAGGAAAACGATAAGCCAGCTTGTTAGTGATTTTTCTTGATATTAATACTGGTATATACTGCTCTAACCATTGTTTCTAATGTTATTCTTACTACTACTCCTACTACTGCTGCTGCTACTACTACTACTACTACTACTGCTGCTACTCCTACTCCTACTCCTACTCCTACTCCTACTCCTACTCCTACTCCTATTCCTACTACTACTACTACTACTACTACTACTACTACTACTACTACTACTACTACTACTACGACTACTACTACTACTACTACTACTACTACTACGACTACTACTACTACTACTACTACTACTCCTACTACTACTACTACTACTACTACTACTACTACTACAACTGAATTCGTGTCATAACAGTTAATCACTATGATTCATAGAATGGCAAGCAGGTCACCAGTTGGGTTCAGAAGGTTTACATGCCGAAAGCCCAGGTTCCTGAGTAGACCCTTCAGAATAAGGGTACCCTTTTCCCAATGGACAGTTTTAATAGGGGGACCCTCAACCCTAAACCCTAAACCCTGAACCCCATAACAAAAAGGGCACTACTCAGGAACCTAGAAGCCGACGGCTGCCTGCGTCCTGCACGTGCTTCCTTCGCTCGAAGATCCCAAGACTTAACCCTGAATTAAATATTGTACCTTACGTTATAGGGGGCTTAACATTACGATTTGAGGTTTGTTCCTGAATTAAGGGGTATTGGGTTCTCTGGGCACGAATCTTAACCAATCACAAGCCTGAGCTCGCAACCCCTTCTGTAATATCTGCAGACTGCCGGTTGAAGACTTCCAGATTTACAGTGATGGTTCACAGCTCCGGGATTACCGAAGCTAAGTTTAACAACTACAGATCTAAGGGGTTAGGGATAAGGGGTTGTGGTTTAGAAATTAGGGTTGAAGGTTCATGATTTAGGATATAAGTTGTGTTTCTGAGGCCCCTTCCTGTAACTTCCACGCAAGAACAGCACGAACTCCCTGAGCATGTGCCAAGCTGTGGGACAGTTCGGCTGCCTCCTTGCTCTCGTGACCTCAATAGAATCAATATTTTTCGTAATCGTACCAATATTACTACAAGTACCACAAAATACGATTCCCACTACTATTGCTACTGCTACAGCTGCAACTACTACTGCCATCACCACCCCGTACTGTTGTTCTTGTAAGTTAACCGTGCAGTATACTTCCAGCCATTGGTATATACTTTAACCCGATTTTGTGTAACCGGCCCAGATATCGAATCCTTCTTGTACTAATGGCTAACATAAAGTACTCCACGCCTCTCGCATGCACGGCAAAGAACGTAGAAGTTCTGTTTGTTGTCCCAATGGGTATCCTGTACTTCGACGGTAACTGTCGTAGAACCTACGACGCTGCAGGCCGTGAACGTCGTTTCGCATCACAGTTCGAGACATATCCTCGGACAGTCGTGCAAGCGCTTCATAAGAAGGACATGCTTGCACATGACAGGCGAAACGTGTGTGAATACATATTAGGTATGAACATATATATATATATATATATATATATATATATATATGTGTGTGTGTGTGTGTTTATGTATATGTATATACACATAGTTATAAAGAAGAATTACCAGATTCGGTCCGACCTACCTTAAACCCCTCCAGAGTAGGAAAAATAATGGCTCCACACTTACAAAAGGCTTACTCCGAGCTTGAATTATTCCCATGCCCCCGTCGTTCTTGGCGGTCACATCTGAGCGGATACATTCACCCGTGCCCAGGTCATGTCAAGCACTGACTGCCGTGGGCATGTCACCTGGGCTTCACGGGAACAGTGCAGCGCTGGAAAGCCCTTGAACACTTCGTGGATCTTCTTGGCTTCTTGAAGGAAAAGCCAGTGCCCAACAGCAACCGATATAGCAGTGCCCTCAACAATCTACGGACAGACTGGTACGAAACATACTTAGGGTTTCGCTCATCACTCATGTCGACAGTCTGCACCCGGCTTTAACTGCGGCTGCCACTGCCGAGCCGGCAATTACCTGAGATATTCCAAACTTTGGGAGGTGGCACCTTTGTATCTCTGGCATGGGGAGTAATTAAAATCTCCAGAAGTTGTGTGATTTTTCGTGGATGGTGAGCATTGGCCAAACAACCAATTCAGCAACCTCCCCAAGCCCTACTGAGCCCTCCACGTCTTTGAGGACTAGACGCCGGAACTAAACAAGGCCCTAGACACGAGCCCAGCATCTGAACCTCACAAGCCACTTGCACCTACCCTAAACCTTTCCACTTCAACCCCTGAATCCTGAACATCCCACCCTTCAACTCTAAACCCTTAAACTTAACTCCCTTATCTCTCAAGTCCTGTTGAAAACGCTGAATCCCATCCGCGACATAAACCCTGAAGTAAACCCAGTTCTCAAACCCTATATCAGGCCGGTATCCCAACAAAAAGGACTGGTGTTTCGACGTACTAGCTGTGCCTGTCTGTCTGTCTGTCTGTCTGTATGTCTGTCTGTATGTATGCATGTGCGTATGTATGTATGCATGCATGTACCTGTGTATGTATGTACGCACATATGTATGTAGGTATGTATGTAAATACATGTGTTTAAACATGATACATGCTTCGATGCCAGGGTCAATCGGGACGCTGCTGCGATCTGGTAGCAGAGGTTGTTTTGGGGAATACGAAGGATACATCGAAGACCTCTCGCACTCAAGAAAACAAGACCCCTGAGGATTCTGAACTGATTGAGATTATGCCTATGAGTTTAAGGTTCAGAGTGCTTCGAGTCGGTGGTCCATTTAAATTCCAAGGGAAGTAAAATGCCACGCACACAAGGCCTCAGAATGACAGAAGATTGGATTGCAAGGTTTTCTGAGAGCTGGGTTCCCTTACTTAGTCGCAAGGATGCTTCCCTAGTATTCTGCAGCTAACAACCTGTATTCCTATGCCAAGATGCGGGGGAACCTAGCTAGCCAGGACGCATGGTTGCAAGTAGATCAAGGAGGGTCATCCGCGCGAACGTGTCCTGCGATTGCAAAGCATGCGGAGGTGGCTTTGCGGTCAAATCTCCCGCAGTAGAAGACTAGATATAACTTGATTGCGGCTAAGCTCCAGCATAAACAATCTAACCAAACCCTCCAATCCCCTAAGGCTCCATGTGCTCATATAGTATATACTTAAGTCTCAAAGTACCCATATAGGGACCCTTAAGGTTTAAGTACCTACGATAAAGGTACATGGAGCCTTTGGGATCTGATAATGCTGCAGAATGGTCATCCAAATACTGCTTGCAATACTGTCTCGCTGCATTGCTTCGGTGCTCCGTTCTCGATCCCAAGATCCTCAGGCGGAAAAGCCTTAAACCCTTAAGCCGTAAACCCTGAAACACCACACCGCTTTGGTTCAACATCTCCGAACCAGCTGGCTGCGTCATGCGCTGATTGTCACCCTGTCTTCTGGCAATTGTAGAGTAAGGGTTTGAGAATTAACCAGTAGCATACCGACACGAGATGGCTTGTCAGTGTGCCATTTTTCAGACCCAGCCGTAGGCTCAAGAAGCAAGCTCAGCTCTTATATATACTGCAAGTAACGGCCAAAACAGTACTGGGTCCGACGAAAACGGGCAAACCACATGGGTGCGGACCCTTGTCCACGGGTTTAGACAGGCAGCCGCAAACAGAACGGAACACGCGCTGAGATGATCCACACCAAGACTGAAATAGCCATACCCTAATCCTAAACTCTAAACCCTGGACCCCCAAACTCAGAAGTGCGACCAGAAAAGAAAGGGAGCCGAGGGGGCGGGGTGACCTGAATATTCGTGAAAACCACCCCGAAAGCCCTTAAACTACGCTGGAGACTTGGACTGGGTTAGCAGCCAAACATCCGCGGCTCTGAAAGACTATGCATGTAGATATACACATTCCGATCCATAAATGACCGACCGCAGTCTCCCTTTCTAGGCAAAAGGTGTGCAAACTTCTGCTGTCCACTCTGAGCTATGGTGAGGATCCATCACGAATGACGGTCTTGTCTAGACTCCACCAAAAGCCGTGCAACCTCCACCAGCCCATTCTCAGCTGCAATGAACAAAGGGGTGGTGCCATCACGCAAGGCTTTGTTCTTGTCGGCTTTGGCCTCCAACAAAAGGCGTGCGACCTTCAACTGCCCAGTCTGAGCTGCAATGAACAGAGGCGTGGTGCCATCATGCATGGCCCTGTCCTTGTCCGCTTTGGCCTCCAGCAAAAGGCGTGCAACCTCCCGCTGCCCCTTCTCGACTGCCACATGCAACGGGGTGGCACCATTCTGATTGGCCTTGTCGTTGTCCGCTTTGGCCTCCAGCAGAAGGCATGCAACCTCCAACTGCCTATATTGAGCTGCAACAAACAAAGGGGTGGCGCCGTTCTTTGTGGCCTTGTCCAGGTCGGCTTTGGCCTCCAGCAGAATACGTGCAACTTCCAACTGCCCACTCCGAGCTGCGATGCAGAGAGGTGTGGTGCGATCATGCATGGCGTTGTCCTTGTCCGCTTTGGCTGCCAGCAAAAGACGAACAACCTCCCACTGCGGCTGTCCCTTCTCAACTGCAATGTGCAACGGCATGGCGCCATTCTCTTTGGCCTTGTCCATGTCCGCTTTGGCCTCCAGCAAAAGGCGTGCCACCTCAAACTGCCTAAACTGAGCTGCAACAAACAAAGGGCTGCTGCCATTCTGTTTGGCCTTGTCCTTGTCCGCTTTGGCCTCCAGCAAAAGGCGTGCAACCTGCAAGTGCCCATTCTGAGCTGCAACGAACAGAGGGGTAATGCCAAGCATGGCGTTGTCCTTGTCCGCTTTCGCCTCCAGCAAAACGCGTGCAACCTTATGACGGCCATGCTGAGCCGCAACAAGCAAAGGAGTGGCGCCGTTCGCTTTGGCCTTGTCCTGGTGGGCCTTCGCTTCCAACAAAGTGTGTGCTACCTCAAGCTGCCCCTTCTCAGCTGCAATGTACAGTGGCGTGGCACCTTTCTTTGTGGCCTTGTCCTTGTCCGCATTGGCCTCCAGCAAAAGGCGTGCCACCTCCAACTGCCCAGTCTGAGCTGCAATGAACAAAGGGGTGGTGCCATCATGCAAGGACTTGTCCTTGTCCGCGTTGGCCTCCAGCAACAGGCGTGCAACCTCATGCTGACCTTGCTGAGCCGCAGAAAACAAAGGGGTGGCGCCGCTCCATTTGGCCTTGTTCATGTCCGCTTTGGCTTCCAGCAAAAGATGTGCAACCTCCAGGTGCCTCGTCTCAAGTGCAATGTGCAGAGGGGAGGTGCCAGCATACATGGCCTTGTCCTTGTCCGCTTTGGCCTTCAGCAAAAGTCGTGCAACCTCATGCTGGCCACGCTGAGCTGCAACAAGCAAAGGGGTGGCGCCGTTTGCTCTGGCCTTGTCCTTGTCCGCTTTGGCTTCCAGCAAAAGCCGTACAACCTCCAGCTGCCCGCGGTCAGCTGCAGCGTACAAAGGCGTGTAACCACCACGTGTGGCACTGTCTTTATCAGCATTGGCCTCCAGCAACAGGCGTGCAAACTCCAACCGCCCATTCTGAGCTGCAAGGAACAGAGGGGTGATGCCGCGCACGGCCTTGTCCGTATCCGCTTTGGCCTCCAGCAAAAGACGTGCAACCGCCAGCTGCCCCCTCTCAGCTGCAATGTACAAAGGGGTGTCGCCAGCACGCGTGGCGATGACTTTATCAGCATTGGCCTCCAACAAAAGGCGTGCAACCTCCAACTGGCCGTACCGGGACGCCTCGAACAGCGGGGCCGGATCGCCTATGTCTGGGTCTTGCGGCATCTGTAGAATAGTCTCCACTTCTGACGTCAGGCCGCGTCTTGCAGCATCCCGAAGCGCTTTCACTTGTGCTTCAGATGCTGGGCAGAAGCCAAGAATCACGACCTGAGCTTCGCCGGGTCTCAAGGTGCGTTCGTCATCTGGAACCATATCATCGTCCGGAAACACCAGCCTTTGCCGGAACCTTGACAGCCCAAGCGTGCTGTGCAAGTGTTGCTTCAGTGCCCGGACGGGACTTATCTCTGCAAGGAGCGTCTCCAGAAAACTCACCAAATCAATCTCAATAAGGTCTTCCCCCGACACCGCCCGAATCCGCAGCATGTCTACCACCACGCGGAAGAGACTTGAAAACCTACGTGGTACGATAGGGGCCTTCGAACAATGAATAAATGATGATAATAAGAATATGAATAATGATACTATAGTGGTAAAAGTCACCATATCCTATTCTGATTATTACTGCTCATATCACTATTATTGCTACTAATAATGACATAATAATACTAATAATTGCCTTCTATGACTGATAATGACTCTGTGTGTATATATATATATATGTATATGTATATGTATATATGTATATGTATATGTATATATAACGCAGTAAGAAAGAGCGTGTAGTATAGATGCCCTTTCGCCAAACTATGAACGGGCCAAGGCAACAAGCAAAGATCAGCAGGTCTTTGTAAAATCTAAACTTTTAACCCTCATTACACCCTTAAACCCTAACCAAACATCAGGAGGTCCTTGTGAGGAAGCAAAGAAGGCTACCGCAAGCCGTGAGGGTCACTCCCGAGAGCAAGATGAGGGCATGGACGAACCAGCTTGCGCGACCTGTCTCCAGGTTTGGGTTTTTTTAATGCGTGATGACCAGAGTCTGCGACCTAGGTCTGCCTTTACAGGTGCACGCAGGTGAGACTTAACGACCATGTAGTCATCATCGAACAGAAGCAGGTAGTCGACATCGTAAGGGCTCAAGGGTTTAGGGCTCAAGGGCTTAAGGGTTTAGGGCTTAAGGGTTAAAGGCATAGGCTTTCGTTACCCTATGGCTACAGACTTATATGTTAAGGCTTTTGGGCCCCAAGGCGATACTGATTAAGGCATCTGAGCTATCTTGAGCCTTGGGGTTTTGGTTGGGGGGACAGGTTCGAAGGTAGAGTGCTCGAAACGTAAGACTGGTGCTTTGCAAAGTGTCCCAAGAGTGTTCACGAAGGAATACCAAGACAGTCTAAGCTCAGGCTTCATGACTTCATGCAGCTTCTGCGGCCTGGAGTTTCTCACCATTGTAGGCTGGAAGCAATACTTGTGGAAATCAACTGCTTGCTTGTCGGTATGGCTTCAGGACACGGAACCTGCTAACTAACACTGCAGGCGGTGTGCAGTCTTGCGACAATATATATATATATATATATATATATATATATATATGCACACATTCAATATAGATGCCGTGGCGTCATGTGGCTAGATTAAGGGTGGTTCGTCGCCCTTTTATACGCTCAGGGTTGAGGGTGTTCAGGCTTAGGGGGTGAGGATCGAAGTGATTCTTTACAGAAGCAGAAGTCAAGTTTGCGAGATTCTTGGGATCTCTGTCGGGATCTCAATCCCCAAGAGTCCACGCACCTATACGCCTATACAGTTCATACTGGCCTTACAGGGGTTTCTACGTAGGCACATCGGGGTCGAAGTGTATACTATACAGGTACATACCTTAACCTACCAAACCTTACCATTTTGTAGGTTCTTATTATCATCCCTAGTATGGAATTTATAGGGACCCTACTTTTTTGTAGGTCTTGGTAGGTTAAGGTAGGTACAAGAACCCTTTTGGATTGAGCACCCTCCTCCTCCTCCTTCGCCTCCTTCGCCTCGTTCTTCTCTTCCCTTCTTAGCCGGTGAGCCGTTGAGGATTCCAACAAGCATAGGCCAAGCAATGCTAGTATGGGAGATTCAGACACGTAGGGTAGGGTTTGGGGAAGTTTAGGGTTTAGGCTTTGCTGGGTTCTTCTTAAGTTTGAATACTAGGAGGCCAATCTCTAACACAGAGAGCTCTATATGCGGTCCTCTTAAATTTTGAAACTCCCATATCTACGTATCTGGAGAGGGCTCATGGGCACTGGCCGGAAGGCACATACACGAGTGGTGGGGCGTCGGGCAGGGTCTTAGGTGTGGGCCCAGACTCTCCCATAATTGGTTTCAAAAATACTACCCTGAGGACCCATGTATACCTCGAAGTATGTTTTAGTTTCCGAAAATAGGGGCCCTCGTTTTTTACCCACAAAATTAGGATCCTTATTAAAAGGACTCCAAAACATGGTACCCCTAATTTTCGCAAGCCCCCGTCTCTCGCCTGTGGCAAGACTTACCTTTGGTTAGTAGGGAATGCAAGAATGGTAGTAATAGTAGTTATTCATAATTGTGCCCCATTCCTTCACTCCCTACTAACCAAAGGCAAGAAGAGTCGGAGACCTGGCTTCTGGGTGCCGCGCTTTGTGCGCGGCAAGAGTTGATGACCCATGCTCCTCCTGTCGAAATTCCACCACTAGTACTCTCATTTTTATTTATTGCTACTAGTCAAGCTGTGTGCACTACTAACTCTCCGCATGTTGTACTGTGGTTGTACTGCTGCTTTTGAAATATACGGCACATGTGACAGATGTGCTAGCTGTCCCTCAGGTAATCACAGGAGGTATGTCCCATGTCTGGCAGGGATCTGCTTACGAGGAAGTGCATTCCCAATGGTCCATCCTTCACAGGGGCCTGTAGAACAGCTTATAAAGGTGACCATGAGTGCTTAAAAGCTCCTTCGGCAGTCACGTTGAATGCTCGGTCATGGCCTGAAGGATGACATCTGGTGCAGTGTGGTTTACGGTTTGGAGTTCGGGCTTTCCGGCTTAGGATTCGAGATGTCGGGCCCTCAGAGGGTTCGGGCTCAGGCCTAGAGTTTATTGTTTGTAGGATGTTCCGGATTCTGGAGATTGTCATATGCAATGTGGCGTAAGCTGGGACTTGAGAAGTCCAGGTTCTTGGTTGGAACCGTCTCGGATATTCAGCAACTACCTATAGCCTCCATTGTAGTTCCTTCTTTTGGTTAACCAGTTTATGGTTAGATTCCTATAATGGAGATGTTGGTAAACCAAAAAAAGGAACTACAATGCAGACTATGGGTATCTGCAGCTAGAGACGTTTCGGGCTCCTTGCCTAGTAGCGTGATCCCCCAACCGTCAACCCGAAACTCTAAACCAACCTAGAGGCTCCATATATACTACCATTATGGAATTAGGCACCAAAAGACCATATTGATCAGGGTTTTAGGGGCCTAATTCCATAATGGTATTGTATCTGGAGCCTCTAGGCAAGATTATGTTGGCTTAGGGTTTAGGGTCTAGGGTTAGCCGAAGCAAGGTCTTCAACAAGTTTCCTGAGAAATCCTCGTGATCTGTCCGGCATGCGGATCATGTTGTCTGCTCATGTGCTTACTTGGAGGATCATGGGGCTTAGTAAGTAAGGTTACAAGTACTTTAATTGGGGATATAAGTACAGTTACCCTAATTTTAACCCCAGTTACTAAGTCCCATGATCCTTTACGTATTCGCGTGAGGACTTGCATGGCTAAGCTAGGCGAACTCACGACCTGAATTCCGAAAAACCTTCACGGCAAAGCCTCCCAAACCCTAAACCCTAAACCCCAACCCAAAAAAGCCTAAACAAACCCAGGCAAACACATAACGATCGCAGAGATCTCAGAACACGACATGGATAATGCGGCCAAAAACAGGCACATGAGCCTTGAACCCCTTCAGGGTTCGTTGCATCCCTGAGGATAGAAAGACTGCCGAGCGGCGGCCATCCAAAATGTATGCAACGAGTCTGAGGGGCGGCTTGTGCAGATCCTGCGGGGTCTCTGCTGTTGTCTTGATTGTGCGCGGTGTGCACGTTGAGAGAGCTTGAGGGTGTTCCTAGGCCCCCCAACTACCCTGTATTGTGCCCCAAATAGCCACTATTAAGGACCACAAGGGCTCTACGAAAGGGCCATTGGGGGGTTCCTGGTTGGGTTTAGGGTTTAGGGCGGTGAAAAGGGACCAAGAAAAGCCTTTTCAGATGCGGGCTTCGACAGCTGTTCGGTTTCCATGCATTGCAGGGTTTACTTAGTTGCTGAGTGCATACGCCCCCAAAAGTGTACACTTTTAGTTTCATATTGGGTAATACTATCCCCAAAAATGTAAGGTGTAAGTGTATCCACTCAACTACTAAGTTCAATTTTTAGGGCTTGGGGGTTTCGTGTTTCGGGCCGGATACTACCTATAGTCTCCATTGTAGTTCCTTTTGTTGGGATTCCAGTTTTATGGTAAGGATCCTATAATAGAGATTTTGGTGAACCAAAAACAGGAACTACAATGGAGACTATAGGTACATCGACACCACCACAAAGAGTCCATGTACTCATATAGTATATACATTGACCTTAAAATACTCCCTATATAGGTACATTGGGCCCAAAGTATATGCTATATGGGTACATGGACCCTTAGGGTCATGAAGGCCCCTATATTTTGCCAACTATCCCTAAACCCCTAAACCCCGAAACCCTAAACCCTAAACCCCTAAACCCCTAAACCCCGAAACCCTAAACCCTAAACCCTAAACCCCTAAACCCCGAAACCCTAAACCCTAAACCCTAAACCCTAAACCCTAAACCGAAGGCCCCTATATTTTGCCAACTATGTGGTGATGGAATGCGAGCCGATCGCCGGCTCGAGCGAACCCTTTTCCTTCTGGGGCTCAGGGCTTGGGGTTTTGGTTCCGGTTTAGGTTTTAGGGGTTTAGGGGTTTAGGGTTTAGGGCTTTGGGTTTAGGGTTTTGGTTCAGGGTTTTGGTTCAAGGTTATTTAGGGTTTATAGGGCTTTGATTTCAGGTTTAGGGTTTAGGTAAACCCCCTATGAAACCCTACAGTGCCTGTGCAAAACATTCCGAAAGCCACATAGAAGCCGGGGGGAAGTCACCTCCCAGACCGCGTGACGCTGGCAAAGTTGAGAAGCACTCTGGCAGCTGGCACACTCACGCCTTAAGACTGTGTGATGTAGCTTGTGTTCTTGGCCTTTTGTCGGTCGCTTTGGTTGGGGTGCTTGGGGTTCGAGCTATGTCATTTGATTCTTCTTCTTCTTACTACTACTATCAATAGTGTTCCTGTTTAATACGACTAGTGTCTCACAGTCTTAACTAGTAGTATATCTTTATTGCCAGTGTCCAGGGTTTATGAGTTTGGGTGTTAGGGCTAAGATTCAGAGTTGCTGTTTTCCATAGGCTCCACTAGAATGCTA